TTCTTGAGGAACACAAAAATATATAATTTGAAAAACAAAGTTAGAGAAGAAAATTTCCAGATTTAATGGTAATTGTAAAAACAGATTACAACCAACTTCTCTTCTTTATAACCTCAAAATTTATTTACCTGGCAATTCTGTTTGTGCAAAAGTGAAAGGATCAGCAGGACATAGTAGATGGAGGGCTGGCCACAGTATCTTGAGGACATGAATTTGTGTGACTTCCCATATACATTGAGCTTGTGACCCTGGACAAGGCACTTATCCCTCTTGGGATCAACTTCCAGGCAATATCGAAAACTACATTTTTAAGTCTTATCAGTTTTACATCCATAACTTCTCTTACATCTTTGCTCATGGCCCCAGCCCTCTTTTAGGCCCTCATCACCTTTCACCAGGGCCATTGCAATAGTCTCCTCATTGGACTTCTTTGCCTCAGATCTTTTCCCCAGTTGACCTTCCAAAGTTGCCAAAGGGATTTTACTAAAGCAAAGGTCTAACAATATTATTCCCTTACTCAATAAACTTCAGTGGCCCCCTGCTACCTTTAGGACCAAATACCAACATTTCACAACCTGGCCTCCAAATGCCTTTCCAGATTTATTGTGTATTATGTCCCTTCTTACTCTAGAGCCTTCTTGTTTCTTTTCAGGCACAACTTTCTATGTTCCATCTCTGTGTATTTGCATGGGCTAATCTCCTGCCGAGAACATCTTCATCTCTACCTTTAAATCCTCAATTTCCTTCAAAATTCAGCTCCAGTGCCACTTCCTACATGAAGCCTTTCCTGATCCCCTGCCCAAGCTCAGTAGTGTGTCTGTTTTCATTCCTCTTCCTCCCCCCAATTATTTATGTTTTATTTATTTTGTGTATAGTTATCTATGTACATATTGTCTCTCTGGATAAAATGGAAGGTCCTTGTGGCATATAGAACATGCTTAATAATACTTGTTGATTGATTGGTAGAGGATATTTCCTGCCATTTCCTGTATATACTGATAAAATCCACGTCCAAGAAAACAATTTTAGTTATATTTCTCTTTTTTTGCACATTTTTCTTTTTTAAAACAACATATTTCCACATTAGTTGTGCTGTAAACAAGAACTAGAACCAAAAGGAAAAACCATGAGACAGAAGAAGCAAACAAACAAAAAAGAGAAAATAGTGTGCTTTGATCTGCATTCAGACTCCATAGTTCTTTCTCTGGATATAAGTAGCATTTTCCATCATGAGTCTTTTGGAATTGTCTTAGATCCTCGCATTGCTGAGAAGGGCTGAGTCAGTCATCGCTGATCGTCACGTAGTGCAGCTGTTACTGTGTACAATGTTCTCCTGGTTCTGCTCACTTCACTCAGCATCAGTTCATGCAGGTCTTTCCAGGTTTTTCTGAAGTCTGCCTGCTCACCATTTCTTATAGCACAATAGTATTCCATTACATTCATGTCACAATTTGTTCAGCCTTTCCCCAGCTGATGGGCATCCCCTCAATTTCCAGTCCTTGGCCACCACAAAAAGAGCTGTGAAGTTACATTTCTTGCTGATAGTTTGTGGCGCAGGGGATAGAGTGCTGGGCTTGGAGTCAGGAAGATCTGAATTTAGATTTGGCTTCAGACATTTTTCTCTCTGTGTAACCCTGGGCAAATCACTTAACCTCTATTTGCCTCCATTTCCTCAACTATAAAATGGGAATACTAATAGCATCTATCTCACAGGGTTGTCGTTAGGATCAAATGAGACAGTGTTTGTGGAAGCACTTAACGCAGTGTCTGGCATATTGTAGGTGCTATATAAATGATTATTTCCTCTTTCCTTCTCTTCCAGTTTGGTCAAAATACCTTGAATTTATTTGTAGAATAACTTGAAACTTTTAGTTATTTTCATATACATGATTTTCAATGTTCATGGCATTTCTGTGGGGATGGGAATAAAGTTTTAAAATTATATACTTTAATAAATTAGAATAAAGGAATAAATGAGAATAAGGTATAATTTATTATAATATGAGCATGTCTTTGAAAAGACAAGGATTATAGTAGTGGTTTATTCTTGGGATACATGTAGCATATCACTTTGTTCATAGGCATTGGACCTGTAGTATATGTGAATTTGTGGTATATCAAGATTAATTATGCCAGGATTCTATTAATGTTCCATCTTATTGTTAGGAAACCTTAATCATATAATTGAGTGTGTGTGTGTGTGTGTGTGTGTGTGTGTGTGTGTATGTGGTGTATAGTGAGATATAACCAGGTCAGATGCCTTGTTCTCCAATACAAATCAAAATCCTTATAGTACGTTATATTAGTTGTCATTCCTTCATTCAGTAGACGTTTGTTAAGTGCTTATTCCGTGTAAGGCATGGTGCTAGGGACTGAGGGTACAAAGCCCAAAACTGAAATAGTCTCTGCTCTTTTTGGCAAGATATAACATAAATAAATAAAGCCAATGTATATGTAAAGTAATGAAAAATAATTTCAAGAGAGAATGCAAATAAATAAGGAGATCAGGAAAAGCTTTGAGTAGGAGGTGGCCCCTGGAAGGCAGAGATTCGGGGGGGGGGTGAGATGAGGAGGAATTATATTCCAGATATGGTAGATCACTTGTGGAAGGACATGGAAGAGGGATGTTTAATGTCTTGTACATAGAGCAGCTAGTAGTAGGCTAATTCAGCTGGAACAGAGAATATAAGAAGTGAGTGTATTGGTAAGATGGAACATTTGGTTTATGAAGCTTTGGAAAATAATTAACTCAAGTCTTTAAAAGAAGCTGAAGCAACATTAATTAAACATGACACTCTAAACAATATATAAATAACAGCTCCTTCCTTCAGCTCAGTGGGAAAAGCAAGTGTCTGTCTTTTATTATGGTCAGAATGTTGAAGTTATTGGACCAAGATTAAAAAAATTTCCCAAGAAATAGGATCTCAGGAAACACATCCTGTCTTTACCTGTCAGCAATACGTTTTCCTGATTCCAGCTATTTTCACATATAAAGGGCAAGGCTGCAAGGTAGATTTGGAAATAGTCGATCACTAAGGCTACACATTCTTTTTTGTTTTTGCTAACAGTACTTATTTTCCTCTTCTTATTTCTCCAAATACCTATTGTTGATCCAAGAGCAATTAAAAAATGACTCAAACTTACCTTAAGAACATTAACAACAGGGGCAGCTAGATGATACATTGGATAGAGCTCTGGCCTTGGAGTCAGGAGGACCTGAGTTCAAATCCAGTCTCAGAGACATGACACTTACTAGATGTGTGACCCTGGGCAAGTCATTTAACCCTGATTGCCTCACAAAAAAAAAGAGTATTAACAACAATTAACTACTCCTTAAAGATCAATAGCCTGTGCTCCTCTCTTTACTTTAAATATTTCCTTTTTGCAGCATTATATAGTGCAGAGTGATGAGATTGGAGTCAGAAGACATGGGTGCAAATCTTACCTGTGTTTCCTATTACTATGTGACCTTGGGCAAGTCCCATAACCTCTCTATGACTTAAGTCTGCACAGGATCACAGGGGGATTTGGTTCATTATAGTATCCTCTACAACTCTGTGATCCTATTATGGGAGTATAGTTTCATGTATAGATGATAGGAAGGGTCCAGAGAGATACTAAAGTTAGATTAGAAGCGACTTGTGGGTTGGGAACCATATTCCTTGTTCCACCATAGCACAATGCCATGTTGTAGAGCAGTCACTTACTGGTTGATAGAAACACTGTCTTGGAAACTTAATAGCTCTATTTGTTCTTCTTCTTAAAATCTTATGTAAGAGCATAAATGAAATGAATGTAATGATCCGAAAGATGCCTCCTATAGGGAAGATGCACTAACTAGTCTCATTAAAATAGGCATCTAGATGGTGCGATGGGTAGAGTGTTGGACCTACAGTCAGAAAGACCTGAGTTCAGATCATTCCTTAGGCACTTAATAGCTGCATGAGCCTGGGAAAGTCATTTAACTTCTGCTTTTTCAGTTTCCTCATCTGTAAAATGAGGATAATAATACCATGCTAATCCTTGTAAAGCACTTTGAAAACCTTAAAATGCTACATAAATACTAGCTATGATTATAATTGTTAAAAAAAATTATGTTTGCCACTTTTAGACATTATGTGGATAAAAAATGAACTCGTGGCATAAAAGTGAGGGGAGTATTTATTGCCTTTATGAAAATATCCACTGGCTTTTAAAAATCTGATTTAGAAATATTAAGGTTATATACTGCTGTACATGAATTGTATTACTGGTGGCAGGTTCTGTTCAGGTCTTGGGAGATCCAGGGATTGAATAATCTTGAGGGTCTTTCCTATTGGGCTCGTTGTGGAAATCAAACTCAAATCAAACTCAATGCACATCATGAAATGTGCCTGTTCTCTATACACTTCAGCCTATTCTACCTCTATCTTCTAACAAGAAGATTTGACAAGTCACTTAGTCTTTAAGAGATTTAGTTTCTTCATTTGTAAGAATGGGGTTAATAATACTTGGAAAATTTTCCTCACAGGATTGTTGTGAGGAAATGACTTTGTAAATCTTAATTAAAATGATGTGAGAATGTGAGCTACTATAGTTAGGCTCAGTGGGCCTGAGTACTAGCCTGGGCTTTGGGACCCTTGAATGTGCCTGAGTGGTGGATGTGTGCTGATGTCGTCCAAATAATTCCATTTGGAAAATATTGTCCATATGCTGGGGAAGCTCCTTGGAAGGAGGGCTTTTGATGATGGTTGATGGATTTAAGGGCAGAAATGGAGTTTGGCTGCTGGCCATTCCATTTCCACCTTCCATTCCTGAAGGATGAGGACTACCCAGCTGCCACTGGGCAAATATCCAAATGCCTGGTGGGATAGTCCAGCCATGGATGTGCCAAACAATTGGAATAAAAATTGCTAGGCTATTTTTATAACATTTGGAGAATGGAAATGTTGAGCTGAGCCACATAGTTCTTTAGTTCTTTTAAAAAGTGATGTTTTCAACACTTTATTTCTCTTTTACAGAAAAAAGAATTTGATGTGGACACACTCAGTAAACCAGAGCTGCGAATGCTCCTTAGTGTAATGGAAGGAGAACTGGAAGCTAGAGACCTTGTCATAGAGGCCTTGAGGGTAAGCTGCTTTTCAGATTCTAATGCCATGTTAACATTCAGGTATAATTAATCCTTCTACCAAGGTCCTTTGATTTTTATTTGTTCAAACAGCTCCAAGTGTCATATTCCATTTATAACGGTTTTGGGGGTTTTTTGGGTAACAAGTTTTATTGATGGCTTTACTTTTCACATCACATTCATTTCCTAATGTATCCCTCCTCTATCTTACCCAGTGAACCTTCCCTTGTAACAAAGATTTTTTAAAAAAATCTAGCACCACCTAACACGTTGACTCTGACAGCATGTGAAATATTCCATGCCTATAGCCCTTCACCTCCTCAGTAAAGGGAACACAGTACACTTTCTCATCTCTCTATTGGCCAAGATTGGCCATCATTATTCTTACTATTTACATTGTTGCAGCTTTTGTGTGTGTTGTTTTCTTTCACTACTCTGTATCAATTTATATAAATTTTTCTATGTTTCTCTGAATTCCTTATACTTGTTGGTTTTTATTGTGGCACAAGAATATTCCATTATATTCTTGTAGCAAACATCATCTATCCATTCCCAAATGAATGGTCCTCTACTTTGTTTCAAGGTCTTTGCTATCACAAAAAGTGTTGCAATGAATATTTTAGATGAGCTCTGTTTCTGTCTTTGACCTCCTTGGAATTTATATTCCTAGCAAAGGCATTACCTAAAGATATTTTGTATATTTGTAGGGATAATTTGTGGGAAAAGGAGAATAGCACCTGAGACCCAATTCCCTTAGCATATATGAGGCTGAGAAGAATGAGTCCTGAAAGCCTCTGCTAGGGTTGACAAAGGTCTTAAGGGGAAGGGAAGCTGACTCAGTCAGTTTAGATGATTGATAGCTCAGCTGGTCACCTTCATCAATGCCCCTTCATCACTTGTTATGTTATTTTAAGCACATAGTAAGTTTTAAAAATAGTGCTTTATTATCACTTTGGAACATTATACCTAAGTAGATAGCTGTTTGATAATTCTTCACTTCTCGGGTAATTAGTCCCCAAAACTTTTAATTGGCTGTCCCCATACACTGGACTCTCTCCTTCCTGGTTTCCTTAGATTTCTTCAAGTTTCAGTTAAAGTTCCACCTTGTGCAGAAAGCCTTAATGCCTTCCCTCTGAGATAATCTCCAATTTATGTTCTATAGATCTTGTTTCTACATAATCATTTGGAAGTTGTTCCGCCTTCCCCACCCCCCATCACCACCCCCATTAGATTGTGAGTTTTTAGAGATCAGGGACTGATTTTTTTCTTTTTCTTTTCTTTGTATTTATAGCACTTGGTATATTGCTTGGCAAACAATAATCACTTAATAAATATGTGTTGCCTTGAATGTTGTTCATTTCATGGCTCAACATGTAAAAGAATATAGGGAAGACAGTGTGCCTTGGGAGCCAAAAGTGAGCTTTCTTCTCTATCTAGTACTGAAGGAAGGTAGGTTGGAAGATGGGTCAAGTGGAGAGAAAGATATGGATTGTAGCAAACCTTAGAATATGCCAGCCTCCAACCAGTGCAACATGAAGAAAGCAAGCATGGAATTCTGAGAAAGTAGTTATCTTCTGAAATTGGTTACAGCAAAATCTTGCCAGGGTTGGTGAACAATAGTGTTGGTAGGAGTCATTTAGTTCAAAGAAGGAAGATAAGATGCTTCAGGACAGAGGGAATGTGCTCAGAGTAGTGATACATGAGTCCAAAATTACAAGGATTTTTTTATGACAGGTCTTGCTGAGCTTGTTGGCTTGGCACTGTGGTCTTCATTTTGTTTCCATCTCAATGTATAATGATCACTGAGTAAAGATATATTTACTGGAATGCTTAATGTGGGCACAGAACAGAATGATGACCATCCAAATAACCATCATATATTAGATTGGAGAGGGTACAAATGCACAGCTCCTTATGGAGGCTGATTGAATCATTTGTTCTGACCAAACAAAAGTGGAATAATCTGTCTGTAGCCTAGTCTTTTCTCTGTCCTTTTCACAGTTATCCTGGGAGATGCTGTCTAGTGTGTAACTGACTCCCCATGATAACTTATTTCTGTACCTGGCATACAAACCTTAAGGGAATTTAATGGGGTTTGTGTATTTATGCATTTTGTAAGCAACTGCATGTGATTTTTGGTAGACTTTAAAGGGCAGCGTTGTCATGTACAAATAGCAGTAGGGGGAAAAGCATATTATTAACATGCTCAGGGACCTAGGAGATCATCTAGTCTGACCTCTCCATGATACAGATAAGATAGTGGGGGGCATAGAGTGATTAAATAACTGGCAAGGGTTTATACTTGGTTAGTAGCAGACCTGCAGCTGGAATTGGGGTTAGTTTTGGATTTTTTCCCACTGTGCGTGCAGGTGCTTCTGAATGATGGTGATTTTTCTGAATGATGAGATTATAGGTACTTAAAATATGTTTATACATTGTGCACTTTCTCCTATATTCTCTCTGTTATGTTCTGTTGATCATATCAGCTTCCAAGAGTTCAGCTCTCACCTCTATAGAGATAACTTCCAAATCTGCTTATCCAGCCCTTATTTCTCAACTGAACTCCAGTCTCATATTGCAAACTACTTGAAGGGTATCTTCACTTCGACATCTTTTCAAACTTAAGTTACCCAAAACAGAACCCATTAACTTTGTTCCCAAACCCATCCCTCTTTCTAGCTTCTCTATTTCTCTCTAAGGCAATATGATCCTTCCAGTCACCCAGGTTTGGAAGCTAGGATTTACCCTTATCTCTTCTTTCTCACATACTCTCCCAGATCCGCTCTGTTGCTTCTCCAACATCTTTCTCCCCAGTCACTTTCTTTTCATGCACTTGGCTACTACCCCATCACTTACATGACCCCTTCCCAGTTCAGATTGTCATTACCAGTCACCTGTAGTATTACAGATGCTTCCTAATTGGCCTCCAGTATCTCCTCTTTAATCTACCCTCCATATTGCTGATAAATTGATCTTCTTAAAGAACAGCCCCGGCTATCTCATTCCTGAACAGGAACTTTAGTGGCTTCCTGTTGTCTCTAGGAGAAAAAAATGCATCTGTTTAAAATGTAAAGCCCTTCACACCACAACTTTGTCCTATCTCCTCAGGCTGCACTACCCCTCATGCACTGTGTGTTTTTTCTGGCCCACTTATTAATTTCCATACATGATGCTCCATCTCCTACCTTCATCTCTTTACACAGGCTGTCCTCCATCTCTACAATGATCTCCCTTTCCACTTCTTCCTCTGGACACTCCCTTCAAGAGTCAGCTCAAGTTCTAGTTCCTTCCAGAGGCCTTTTCTTTTCCCCTAGTTTTTTTTCCCTATAACATGGTATAATAAAGAAGATGATTGTACATGAAACTGCAAATTTATCATGTGCAATTTGCTATTCCTTATAAATATATAATAAAGTTATTATGTCCTTATTTTACCCACTCCTCCAACATTCCCTTCCTTATCTTTTTCCCCCTCCTATATCTTAATCTATACACCATTCTAAAAGTCCCTTCCCAACCCTGTCATCATTTTCTCACCCTTCCAGATGTATGCATTGTTTCATCTTCAACTAAGATAGGAGTGATGTTCCAGTGTTACTAGTCCTCTACCCCTGCCCTCTTCCTTTATTAGTTCTTCCTTTCATGCCCCATTTTTATGAAATAATTGCTCCTTTTTACCTTTTCCTACCTTCTCCAAAATACTTTGTATTTTTAGGTGTTTAATAAATCTTATATATGCATATATGTGCAATATATATCCACATGTTCTCTACCTGTGTATGTGTCTGTATTTATGTATATATAGAGAGAGCATATATATGTGCTCTATATGTGTGCTCTATATGCATGTAAAATATGTATGTGTGTGTATATATATATATATATAAATTTACATGTCTGTGAACATCTCCTTTTCCTCAGCATAATGTGAGCTCCTTGAGGGCAAGAACTGTCAGCTTTTGTATTAGTATCCTTGGCACAATGTCTGATAGTTACTAAGCACTAATAAATTCTTGTTGATTGATTTATGAAGTAAATACTTAAGAAGAGAGGATTTTAGAGGTTGAAGGAACACTAGAGGCATTCAGATCTAATCTTATCTAAAAGGAGGTGGGGTCTTCATCATATCATCAGCATGTTGGAAAATATAAGTAACAATTACAGAAAATTCAATTTTATGATTTAATGAGTGTTTTTCATTAACAATCAATTCTTTACCATTGAGGAGTAGTTGGAGCCTGCAAAAATACTTGCTCCATGGCATTTTAAAGGCTCTGTGCCTTTCTTCACCTAAATAGGTGAAGAATGCCATCTATTTCTTTCTTTATTTATTTTAGGCAATTGGGGTTAAGTGACTTGCCCAGGGTCACACAGCTAGTAAGTGTCAAGTGTTTGATCTGAGGCCGGATTTGGACTCAGGTCCTCCTGACTTCAGGGATGGTGCTCTATCCCCTGTGCCGCCTAGCTGCCCCAAGAATGCCATTTAGAGAGAAAATGATGTCTCTGGAGAAAGGAAGAATAATCCTAACCTTTATTATTATTTAGCATTAGGAGAAAATACCTAAAATCTCTAAAGTAAGAATTGAAATGTCCTGATTTCTGATCAGATTCACCAACCAGCTCTATAATGAACTGTTTTTATCTGATAAGAATGAAAAAAGTTACGTATTTTTAAAGTCACTAATAAATTTTCTTTAAATGCTCAGACCATTTTGTACTTGTGAAAATACACTTGTAAATTTTTTCCACTTGTAAAATTTTCACACTATATACTGAAGTGGGACAGATAAGTGGGCTAGCAATTCAGTCATGGAATATCGCATCAAAGATTCACTTTTTATTTTACAACAAAAGCTGTGTTGATCCAGTAATAGCACAAACGAATGCTGGGCATTTGTAGTAATGATGATTCTTTTCAAAATTATCAGATTTCAGAATTATACTAGATTTGCAAGTGTGAGTTTACTTTTTCTAACTTCTAAGGGTTTTCATTACTCCACA